TCAACACTGCAGCTGCCCATCGCTGGCTCCGGCAGCACCCCATGGGTACACCAGTGATGAGCCCAGCAGGATGAAACCAGTTATGTGGCAAATGCCATCATAGAGTCATAGAATTGTTTTGGTTGGAAGAGAATTTTAAGAACTAGTCCAACCATTCCCCAGCACTGCCAGGTCCCCACTGCCCCGTGTCCCTCACCCCACATCTCCACGGCTTGGAAACCCCTCCAGGGGTGGGGACTCCACCACTGCCCTGGGCAGCCTGGCACAGCCCTGGGCAACCCTCCAGGGCAAGAAATGGTTCCTCAGGGACAACCTCAACCTCCCCTGGGGCAACTTGAGGCCCTTTCCTCTTGTCCTGTCCCTTGGGAGCAGAGCCCGACCCCCCCCTGGCTCCAGGCTCCTGTCAGGAGCTGTGCCGAGCCAGAAGGTCTCCCCTGAGCCTCCTTTGCTCCAGGCTCAGCACCCCCAGCTCCCTCAGCTGCTCCTCCCCCCACTTGGGCTCTAGACCCTTCCCCAGCAGCTCCGTTGCCCTTCTCTGGCCACGCTCCAGCCCCTCAAGGTCCTGCTTGGAGGGAGGGCCCCAACACTGACCCCAGGATTTGAGATGTGGCCTCACCAGTGTTGAGCACAGGAGGATGATCCCAGCCCTAGTCCTGCAATGGTTCTGCCTCCTCTTGAACACACAGCCAAGCCAAGGAACTCTGAATTCACAGGGACAACATGGGTCCATCAGTGCTGCTCTAGAAAATCATATAGATGATGTGTGAGACAGTCTCACCATCCATCCTTTGAGAGCCTGATAGTTTGTTGGTTTTCTAATGCTCATGTGACGAATTAATTCCCATATATTAAGGAAAATCTTGGCTGGTTTGGTGAGGAGCAATCCAGGAACCTCCTTTAACAGACCATTTCTGTGGTTTTCTCTTCGTTGTGTTCACTGCTGGCTTCCAGCTCTTACCCAAATCCCACTCTCTTTGCTTTTATGAGTGATATTCAGGGGATTTGACCCGGTGAAGGTGACTCTCTCTGAAGCCAGTCATGACACAAACCACAGCCTCACTTCTCACATCCTCTTCTATGAAGTGCAGCTTTGGTTTCAGTCTTGGCCGTTGTGCTCAGCTCCTCTGCCCTGTGAAGAACTCCTCAGCTTCCCCTTAAATCTTCTGGAGGTCAAGGGCTGTAAGAAGTTACACCAAAGAGGATATTTTTAGTGAATATTCCTACTTTCATTGTGTGGCCATTTCCTCTGTTCTGTCACCCCATTTCCAGGAGGCTTTTGCTGGTTCAGGTGTTTATTTGCAGCTTTGCTCACGAGTGTTGGTCACAACATGGGCTTTGATCTTTTGTCTGTGCACTCAGGAGTCCCCAGAGGTCTTCTGCTGTCATTTAGCTCTGTGAAACATTCAAGGGTTTCACCAGTTTTAGCCTCTGCAGCATATTTATCTGCCAGTAAATCTCTTCCACGATTTCCTCTTGGCATGGAGGCAGCGGTGAATGCGTTTGCAGAAGGAAAACCAGAGGCCCCATCCCTGGGGACATCCAAGATCAGGCTGGATGAAGCTTTGAGTAGCTTGATCTAGTTGGAGATGTCTCTGCTTGTGGTGGGGGGGTTGGACTAGATGAGCTTTGGAGGCCCCTTCCAGCCCAGACATTCCATGATTCTATGAAAACGAGCAGCACAAGATTACTTGGAAAATGTTTCTGTTATCTTCATATTCTTGTGCTGTTCCTGATGCCAAATGCTTCCAGACTTCAGCTCCTGAGGCATCTCTGTGGGCCTCCAGCTCTCTCTGCCCAGGGAGAGGGACGTGAAGCTGCACTGACATGGGGCCACCACTACTTTACATCACAGGACATGGAGCCAGCATTCCTTTATGTCAAGGGACATGGGGCCACCACCCTTTTAAGCCAAGGGACATGAGGTCACTGCTTGTTTACACCAAGGGACGTGGAGCCACCACCCCTTTACATCAAGGGAACATGGGGTCACCATTCCTTTACATCAAGGGAGGTAGGGTCACCATTTCTTTACATCAGGGGACATGGGGTCACCACTGCTTTACATCAGGGTCATCATTCCTTTATGGCAAGGGACACAGGGTCACCCCTGCTTTACATCAATTGACATGGGTCACCACCCTTTTACACCAAAGGGCATGGAGCCACCACTCCTTTACATCAAGGGATACAGGATCACCACGTCCACACACCAAAAAATCCTGCCTTAGTCAAAGCCCCCTCCTCTACAACTTCAACAGCAGCCATTTTCTTGTAGTATTTGAGAGAGGGAGTGAAGCCTGAGATGTTTAAATGTGTTGAGAGCATGATTTGATTCAAAACTCTGGGCCACCCATGTATTCAAGGTTGCCCAAGCGAGGGTCTGGGTGTTGGGCTTGCATGTGTAGAGTTCAACCCCTGTCACTCAGGACTCTAGTTTACATCCCAAAATATCATGGAAAGGAGGCAGAGGAGGGATGCAAAGAGCTTCCCAAAGGTGAAGCAGGCAAAGACAAACAGCAGAGCAAAGAGCACATCTGACAAGTGAAAACCTGGAAGCAAGGTCTTGATGGGGCAACAGGGTATTGGACCTTCATCAAAATTCCTGGTTTTGATTTACCCACCATTGCCAGAGGTGGGCATCATGGGTGTCCTACCCAGACCAGGCCTGTCACCTCTTTTAAACCCTTGGTAGTTACAAGAACTGTTACAATGGGGTAGAGGGAGGAAGAGGAGGAGCTGTATTGTACATTAAAATAGAACAGAAACATGGAATCATAGAATGGGTTGGTTTGGAAAAGACCTTCAAGATCATCCAGTTCCAACACCTCCCACTAGAGCAGGTTGCTCCAAGCCTCATCCAACCTGGCCTTGAACACCTCCAGGGATGGAGCATCCACAGCTTCCCTGGGCAACCTGGACCAGGGTCTCACCAGCCTCACAGGGAAGAACTTCTTCCTAACTTTTCATCTAAATCTCCCCTCTTCCAGTTTGAAGCCATCACCCCTCCTCCTATCACCAGGATAGTTCTGTTTGAATAGACAGACACATGTATTTGTGCCCTTCTCTTGCTGTTTTCTCCAGGAACCACCCCGTGCACACCAGATACCTCCTCTCCCCCATGTAAAGAGAAATATTTCCTTCAGCCCTTAAGGAATCAGCAGGAGCTTCCCCACAGATGAAGACCACGTGAGTGGTGAGATCTGGGCAACGTTTGATCCCTGCACTGCTGCAGGCTGAAGGAGAGGAGCCGTGCTCCCCTGGTCACAGCTAGATTTGTAGGTGGCATCTTGGAGCGAGTTAGGAGGGCTGGAAATCCCACCAGCAGAAAGGCAAGACCAAGCTTTCAGCCTTGTTTTTTGACAAGACAAATGTTCTCACCCAAGGGGTTTGGTACTTGAGGCAACACAAGCCTCAGGATGTGGACGCTGAAAAAAAAACCACCTTCCCCATCTCACTTCTGGGCTGCTGATGGTGTGTGGCTGTTCTTCTACAATTTCCTTCCTGCACACACAGCAATCACTAATTTTAGACTCGTTTACATGTAGAAGTGACATTACTGCCTTGGAAACTGCTGCTTCTGAAGAAGAATCCTTCCCCGTTCTGCCAGGTAACAGCTACTCTGTAGATTTAAATGATGGAGCTCTTGGGTTTGTTAGAAGGAACCAAGTTCAGAGGACAGTGATGTTGGTTTGTAGGTATCCAGGAGGAAACAACAAAATGGATCCATTTGTGTAGAGAAACACCTACAGTGCCTGGCAAAAACTGTCCCTCACACCACATCTCCACAGCTTGGAAACCCCTCCAGGGGTGGGGACTCCACCACTGCCCTGGGCAACCCTCAAGGGCAAGAAATTTGTCCTGATATCCAACCTCAACCTCCTTTGGGGCAACTTGAGGCAATTTCCTCTTGTCCTACCACTTGTTCCTTGGGAGAAGAACCCCACCCCTATGATGGGATTCTTGCAAGCCTATCAAGCTGCTAGCAGGGTCTGTTTAAACCCCTGGTCCCTCCTGCTAGCAATGAGGGCTGATGATGTTTGCTCTTTTGGCTGGATGCAAGGTGGGGAGGCACCCCCTGCAGCAGGCTGCTCCAGGCTGTCTCCAGGGTGAGTTTTACAGGCAGAATTTCCACATGCTGCTGTAGACAGCTCCAAAAAAAGCACATGTAGGAGCTGGAGGAACATGGCTTGGGTGGCCTTGTGAAAGAGCTGGTCCCCAGGAACTTCCCAAATCCTGGGACAACTTGTAAACGACGTCACCGCTGCT